GCTCAATCTTTGATAAAAGTTGTTCTATAAGCCTTTTTTTGGGTTCCTCATGGAATCAGAGGCTTGTTTCTAACAAAAAATCTGAAATTTGTGATATTTAATTTCTGATTTATTATTCACCCAAAATTGTGAGAGCTCGGATCAACGAGATCTGAAATTGAGTCCATATCGAGTTTGGAGGTTTTGATTTGGGGTGTTTGTAGGCGCTTTGACAAATATTGGAGGCATCGATTCCGACCAAGCCTAAAGATTGGAGGATCTGCCTCGAAATTTTGGGAATATTTTAATTTTTTTCCAATTTAAATTCATATTGTTGTTTATTTTTGACTGATTCAATTAAAATTCATATCATTTTCCACGATGAATATTCTTTTTCTATTTTTTACAAATGGTTTTCAATTTTTCTAGTTTTACAGATTTTTCTTAAATTTTCAAGAGTTTATAGGATTCGTGGGCAATTTGGGAGAAACTCAAGCGAGTCAACTCAGTCTCGGTAGTTTACATAGGCCAGGGGACGAGTTCGATCCATAGCCATTTTTTTAAACCTTGGCTAAGAGTATGCTTTGCATGTTGTTACCTCAAGGGAACTAGTAAAATGGCCTTCTCTACACTTGCATTGTACAACATGCCCACATTGATACCAATTGAGCTCATTACTTGTTGAATGAAGGAAGAGAGGGAGCAAAAGGGGAAGCAGGAAGGGGCGTAGGACAACCATTTTGAAGAGGTTCGAGGTTGAGAGCACCATGGGAATAGTTCATAAAAAACTTGCCCAAGTTTGACGTTGGTTTGAAATATAAAGGGCGAAGGAAATCCGCTCCGCTTTTCTCGTCATTTTGGTCCAAAAACACACCTGTATGATCTACCCACTAAACATGAGATGTCAAATAAATTGAACAAGGTTTTGCCTAATTTCAGAAAAATTACATTTTTTTTGCGAGTGATGCTCAATCTTTGATAAAAATTGTTCTCGTGTTTGGGTTCCTCATCCAATCAGAGGCTTGTTTCTCACAAAAAATCTGAAATTTGTGATATTTTAATTTCTGATTTATTATTCACCTGAAATTGTGAGAGCTCGGATCAATGATATCTGAACTTGAGTCCATATATTTGGAGATTTTGATTTGGGGTGTTTGAGGACGCTTTGACAAATATTGGAGCATCAATTCCAACTGAGCCCAAAGACTGGAGGATCTGCCTCGATGTTTTGGTTATATTTCAATTTTTTGCAATTTAAATTCATATAGTTGATTTATTTTTTACTGATTCAACTCAAAGTTCATAATCATTTTCAATGATGTATATTTTTTTTTATATTTGTTACAATTTTTTTTCAATTTTTCTAGTTTTTCAGATTTTTCATAAGTGTTCAGGAATTTCCACGCTTCTTGGGTAATTTGGGGGAAAATCATGCAAGTCAACCCAAACTCGGTAGATTGGATTGGCCAAGGACCGAGTTCGGTCCTGAGCCATTTTTATGAACCTTGGTCAAGTGTATGCTTTGCATGTTGCTACCTCAAGGGAACTACTGATAGGGCCCTCTCTACACTTGCATCGTCCAACATGCCTACATTGATATCAATTGAGGTCATTCCTTTGTTGAATGAAGGAAGAGAGGAAGTAAAAGGGGTAGCAGGAAGGGGGTAAGAGAACCATTTTGAGGAGGTTCACGGTTGAGAGCACCAAAGAGGAAGTAAAAAGGGGTAGTAGGAAGGGGGTAAGAGAAAACCATTTTGAGGAGGTTCACGGTTGAGAGCACCAAGGGAATGGTTCTACAGTGTGTGTGTGCGTGCGTGTTTTTATAATTCTATACACACACATGCATAAACCACGTAGCAATATATGACATATATGTACATGTAGGTAAATGGAGAACATAATTTGTTTTACAAAAAATGATTACTTTCCAGAAAGTATTCGAATAGTGAGGAATAATTTCTATTGCGAAGCCTCTCGTAATTACTTCTTTGTAATCATCCCTTTATCATACTTTGGAAAGTTGTTTAAGGATAAATCACCCCATCCTTGAAATTTACATAAAAAATTTTTTACACTCATATTTTTATCAGTGTTTTAAAAATGAGGGATGCCGTCTAAATGAGGTCAAGGGTCCAGTGCAGTGTTGTAGCTCGATGTGGTCTCTATGCGGGAGTATCACCTCCGATGCGTGAATGTATTTTAAAGTAATAATTTTATAAGAATATAATAGTGTCTTCTGATATCCTGATAAAGAGTAACAGAGTTTGTTGTCCCTAATCTCCAATAGTATATAATACAATTCAATGAAAGATAAAGTAATCCATCTTCCATCCCATCTCATTCACTAAATTAAACAGAAATAAAATCCAATTTCCCAAATAGTTATGAAATGGCAGCTAATGACCAAAAGTACTTCACAGTTCACTGTATCTTGAGATACATGTTACATAAACATCCAAGCTTTAAACTTTAAACTCTAAAGAGGCAAAGATTAAATTTTTTAATATATAGAATAAAAAAGACAACAATGGTCAAGGCACCCAAGTCTCTTAACTCTCAACTCTCACTGGGACAAGTCATATTCTTCATGTGCATATGCAACTCCCACATCCAAAGCCAAGGACATAGAGGCATCCATAACCACAAGCATATGTTGCGCGGTCAAACTCTCTCCTCTCATAACTTTACAGTCTTTACATGATGGTTGATCTACCTTCTTAACTAGGAAGTAGTCTATCTGGCTTCATATTGTCCACTTTTATAAGTTATTAAATGTTCATGTCACTTTTTAAAGTAGGTGTTTACTATTGCTAGGTCATAGGAAATAGCAAAATCTAGAATAACCTTACCCATCTCATTTCCTTTCTCAAAACCATATCCCCCTTATACCCCTTCATATTTTCTACTATCCCTCCTACATAACCATTTAAATCCATTCTTAAAAAAGTCCTCTCTCCATTTGATATGTCTTATCCATCCATATCCTCCTAAAATTGTCTCTTAATTATGTCCTCTAGTCCTACTTGTGGACTATAAGCACTAATTACATTAACTATTTCCTCCCATAACACAAGTTTAATTAATAGAAGCCCATCACCTAATCTTGACAAAAACTATTTTATTCATTAAATCCTTATCTACTATTATACCTATGCCATTTCTATTGTTGTTTTTTCCTGTATACCAAATTTTATACCCATCAATATCCTTAGCTTTTTCTCTTTTTCACTTAGTTTCCTGTAGGCAAGCTATGTTTACTCTCCTTCATCTCATTGTATCCACTAACCCCATATTTTTACATGTTAACACCTTGGAATTCCATGTGACTAGACGAATCCTATTCTCTTGGACTAACTTTTTAACCCGCACTCATCCATAATATCGCAGGAACCCTTGCCTATTTTACATTGCAATAGGGCGACGCTGTGGCTAGCCGTTTCTAGGGAACGTCCTAGCTAACCCGTGCTTATTTCTCATTGTACATGAGTGTGGGTACAACACGTTGCTTACAAGGTGCCTCAACATGAACGAATAACGTAGCTTCAAGATTCATAGAAAGTTACAACAAAGTTTTATATTGCCTACCTACCTAACACAACTCTCCTCCTTTACCCAAGCTTGGGACCGACATTGATCGGCAGGAACGGCCAAGGTGGAGTTTGAATGTCTAGTTTTTAATTACCTTGAAACCATATAACTCCTGGTTCTAAGGTGCTTTTGGGGGGAATATAAAGCCCCATAGCCTTTTCCTTCTTTTCGGAGGAAAATGACACTTTTGGCCATGCTTGTTAGCATATTTCCACCCACAAGCAGTGGGTGCATATGGAGGCACATCACTCAAGATATGATGCGACACATATGCTGTCACATCACAATCTTCTGCATATGCAGCCTAGAGTGATGTGCCCCAGGTAACGCATTATGTGGCCGCATGATGTGTTATGTCGCCACATATAACAAAATAATTTTTATTACTTTTTATTTTTCTTTGACTACCTATTAATTATCTAAGGTCAACAAAGGCAGGGAGGGATGAGGGTGACAGCCCCCTTCTTTTCATCTTTATCAGAAGTGTGTCCCACCCCAGAAAAGAGGAATGCAATAATTGTTTTTATATTCTTTTCATTAAGTATTATTGCTTCAAATAAAAAAAATTTATTTTTGCAGTCTTAGTTAGAGAGATATTCCGAGAGGAAGGGAGCAGTTTCCTAAGAGGAGGGGATTAGACTACCTAATATGTTCAGTTCTCTAAACATGGAAAAGCATTTCCCAAATGTAAATGGGCAACTGAAGTGGGTTTCCCTAAATTCATCAAAAAAGAGTAGGAGTTCCCTAAAACTAAGGGAGTTAAGGCTAGCTCACCTGATAATATCCTATCACAGGTTATTTGCCTCTATGCTAAGCCTAGTATAATTTCTTTTAGAGTTCTAAGAAGCAATGTATCGCTATACAATTTATCATCAAGGTGGAGTATGGAACAATGGATCACTACCGAGTTCAAATGGTCACACTAAAAAAATTGGATTTCTTGTCCATATTTCCTTTATGTTATGACAATAAATCTGCAATATCCAATCCTGCTAAACCAGTGTTCCATGCAAGAACAAGATGCATAGACATAGATTATCGTCGCATTGATATAAAGGGCTATATTATGACAGACCCTCAAAATGTTTGCATGTCTTCTTGGTAGCAGATGTTTCCACGAAGTTAATAGCCAGAGGCAGGCATCAAATTATGTCATCCAAGATGTCAATCTAGGATCAACTTTCTTGGGACTGTAAAAGATTTGTGTCCTCAGTTTATGTCATGATGTGTTATGTTGGTATTTTGTCATTATTATACAAGTACCAGCGTCATTTCTTTATTGATTATGGGGAACTTTTCACAATCATCTCTTCCTCCTATAACCATACAAGTTTTTTCTGTGCAACAGAACCAACATCTTCTTCAGAACATTAATATTGAATTGCATAACCAACGAAAACAGTTAGCAACAAAAAAAATTGAACAGAAAACAATGCACGACCCAAATTACGCTAAACGTATTGCATTATCATACCCACTTTTACACTAAGCAAGCAAATTTGATTACACCAAAGTAACCTAGTTTTTAATAGTCCCAGAGTTGTCACTGTTTCCACCAAATAAAAATGCAGTTGTAGAAGCACGGAGAAGCAATAAAAATACAGTACCTAAAACGTTGAGGGTGCAATGTCTGCAAAGAGAGGTAAATTGTATGGCTGGGTTTCATATGGAATGCGTCCAATAATTTCTTGTTGAGCTAAAGGCATAGTCCTTTCAATCCTATTATCATAAAAAAATAAAAAAAAAGAAAAAAAAAAAAGACGAAGAAGCCAACTACATGAGGTGATAGTAAAATAAAGCCCTAGAATCTAAACCATGTAGAACTTGAATCAAAATCCCTGAGATTTATCTAAATACACAGAGCTTAAGGAAAGAGACCATAATAACAACAAAAATGACGATAACAAAGAATATGCTTGAAGCCATGACTGTCCATGGTTAAACTTCAATTAAAAAAAACAGGAATTTTGTTTTAAATTGAACAATCAAAATCAGATAACACATAATATCAAACAGTTATAGCATATGGAATGGATGTGTGGTTTGACTACTATCAAAGCTGGCCATAACATTCGAATTTCTTTTATAAATGCAAAATATAATTTTGCCAAGTTGAAGTTGTCAAATAAATGAGAGAGAGAACCAAAAAAAAAAAAAAATCAATCCAGAATGACAAACATGAAAAGATCCTGAAATTCATAGAAATGAAGTTTTTAAAGGCTTAGAAATCAACCGTCACAGATTCTTGATAAGGTCAATTTTTCTTTTTCTTTTTACAATTTAAGAAAATGAGGAATCCTATCTGATTATAGATCCAAAAACTAGAAGTAGAAGAAACAACTAAAAATAAAAGATGCATCCATTTCAATACCTTTGAAATTTCAGGAATCCATACACAAAGAACAGCAACATTTGGGTCCCACCGCATCAGAAACTAAGGGCCTGCCTGGATGACAATTAATTATATGTTCAATACATTACTTTGTCCATTATATCTTGTATAGAAACATTTTGGTAGTTGTTGACAATCTAGCTATTCTCACATTTGCAGATTTAGAGAGAGAAAATAATTAAGAGAGTAGCATTTTTTCACAAAGGTAATAAAGAAACTGCCAATGTTTTGAAACAAAATAAATAATAACCAGAGAGAAATAAATGCCATATTTACTATTTCTCTTTCTCAAACCCCAGTAAGGAAGCCTTGTGTGAACCAGCCATACGACCAAAAGGATAAATTTCAACCCCAATCTCTATCCTGCAATGAAAATGGTATTTCTCAGGCCAAGATACAAGAACAGTGAATCACTACATCTAAAAGCAAGTCAAATGGAGATCAAATTTTTGAAAAATTAAAGAGAGAATTTATTGTAGCCAAGAGCATTGAAAAACCACTAATTCAACTGAAAAGGCTCCAAAACCAGATGCATTGGGAGGGTTCCAAGGAGCCTGTGCACCAATTGATTTGCTGCAAGCCATGGAGGTGGATTTGGGTTAGGGAATAATCTGAGAGATGAAAGGCATACCTCAGCCCTGGCTCCAAGGAAGGCAGCTGGGGCACACCAGTGGTGCATAGTTTAATTTTAGGGTTTTGGAGTGGCCATTAATGGTGGAGCCGATTGCAATTTGTGGTGATCTGGAGATAGTTGCAGTACACAGGGTATGGAGGAGGTGGAGACAGGCGAGGGGGTTTTAGAGAGAGTGAGGGCTTTGAAGAGGTGGATCCCCAAGCCTTTTTGCCTTTTTTTCCTAGTGGAATTATCTTGTAAACCCCTCCTAAATACACAACTTCCGTGAGCAACCTCACAGGTACGCAGTTCATTGCTGTTAAACATTCGACTGGTGTTCCAAAACTTGGATTACTGGGGCGGGTTGTTCACTAGTGTCGGATTGCTAGATCAAA